AGTCCTGGGGCTTTGGGCGCCGTGCAGACTTTTAAAGAATTGTATGTGGTGGAATTTATGAGTATTTCCCTTGGTGGTGTTTGGATTTTTGAATCTTGGCTAGAGATTGAGGTTATAAAGCAAGTCGACTGTGTTTTATTTCAGTACCTGTAGTTCACATTTTACATTTAGGTTTCGGATCCACCTGGAATTTCTCTGAGAATAAGGGAATCAATGGGCATATTTACTGGGATGATGTCAAAATTATAAATGAACTTAGGGCACAACGATAACTTTATATAATGCTAACATTTCCTACCCAAACCACGGTGCGCCTCTATTCTTTTTGTCTTCGGGGTTTTAAACTTTCACGTGGGTGTGAGGTATTGTATTATGATTATTCCGAGGCATTTAATCTTCTCGTCGCTATTGTAAAAGGGATTGTCTATCAAGTTTCGTACATTAATATTACACCCGCCGCCACGCTGAATTCTCTTAGTGTCTGTGGGAGTTTTTCATCCATTCTCTTGGGTTTTCTACATCATTTCAGTGACTGCTCATCCTCTCCAATTTTTACTTCTCTGCTGTTAAAAAGAATTCTGAACTTGCCAGCTGTCAACGATAGTCTCTGATTCACTTTAAGTCCCAACTACGACAGACAAGACCATCTCACCGTTGATTCCACCTCCCACCTTCTCTCCCTCCTCCTCTCAACTGTGCTCAGCTGAGCCTTGGCCCATCACCGGAGCAGCAACATTTAAACCACCGACACCCTTGGCCCGTTTCGGCTTTACTCTGCAGTTAATTAAAGGTGCCGCCTCAGTGTTGGTGCCAAAGTGGCCCCGGCTGCTCGGGGTCAACTGAGGTTGAGTCTGTAGTAGTTTCTCCTGAAGGGCTCATGGGAGCCCATCTCCCGAGTTCTTGGCAGATTTGAAACGTTTTTGCAGCCCTGGCCGGGTAGCTCAGCTGATAAGAGCATCATCCTGATACACCAAGGTTGCAGGTTCAATTCCCGGTCAGAGCACACACAAGAATCAACTAATGAATGCATAAATAAGTGGAATGACAAAAATCAATGTTTCTCCCTCTCTCTCTCTCTCTCTCCCCCTTCCTCCCTTTCTAAAATCAATAAATAAATAATTTTTAAAAACCCACAAACGTTTTTGTAGCCCGGCCTGTGTGGCTCAGTGGTTGAATGTCGACCTATGAACCAGGAAGTCATGGTTCGATTCCTGGTCAGGGCATATGCCCAAGTTGTGGGCTCACTCCCTCTCTCATCATTGATGCTTCTACCTTTCTCTCCCTCCTCTCCCTTCCTCTCTGAAATCAATAAAAATATATTTTTTTAAAATTTTTTTGTAGCCTCTCCGCTTGAAGGCCAGCCCGGCTAGGCGGACAGTCCTGGGCTCTGTCGCTCGGCTGTGTGCTGACGTTCAGGGCTGCGTGGACAGGTCAGGAGCCAGCCTGGCCGTCTCCCTCTGAAGTCACTGGATCAGGACACTTTCCCTTCCATTGAAGGTCAGTGCCTTTCCTGGGCCATGTCTCCATGTGGACTGACCATTTCCCCTTGTGCCCAGCGTGGTCATTCAATGTGCAAACTAAATGATTTCATAAATGTTTGTGGATTATACTTCAAAATCACCGAAGCATCCCACACTGAGAACAGTGGGTCCCCACATCCCAATCCTGTAAGAGGTGCACCCGGGTTAATGCCAGTCTAATGACATGACGAAGGGGCCACAGAGCTGCTGCAGGGGAACTGGGTCCAGGCTGCAGGGCAGTGGCAGGGCCTCTGGGAGCCCTCAGGACCGGCACTGCTCCCCTGGCCGGATCTGGGAAGTCTGGGCGAATACAGGCCCTCGGGGCACAGGCTCCTGCGTCCACACTCAGCCTCCCCTGCCTCCCACAGGAGGTAACGTCCATGCTCATCTGAGGACAGGTAACATGCAGCTCGCAGGAGCCACCTGCCTACGTGTTATATTCCAATTCACATCACCGTGGGGGACTGTTGGGGTTTGACTGTATTTATCCTGCTCCACCATCCTGCTGTCCTCCTTCCAATTCTCCAATTATCTATCTACCTGTTGTTGTACCTTCTTTGCTTGTCTTCTGTAGGTACCACTTTCTAATGTTCAAAAACTCATTCTTCCTGTTTCATTTGTATAATTTCCTCCCTTCTGCCTGCGTTGTCCCTCGCTGTGTCTCCTGCCACCTCTATGGTACCCTCTGCTCATCCATTTGTGTATTTATTTCTGTGATAGTTTTTATTATTTTCCCTAAATAATTCCAGCTCAGGTTTCATTGTCTCCAGTCCTTTGGCCATTCAGCCTCCTCTCCCCTCAGCCCTCGGGCTCTAGCTTTGCCGTTTCCTTCTTGGCGGTGATGAGTTTGTCTTTTCAGTTTGTCATCCTTTCTTTTCACTTCCTTTCCTGTCTTCTGGGGGGAAAGGTCCCACATTCACCTCCTTTTCCTCTGGTGACTTAGAAGTGATCGGTGGCATTTTATTACTTTTAGCAATTAATGTAGATGTTTGAAGTATATGTTCTTAGCTATACCTTTTCCTAATGAAGTCTAAAGTTAATATTTCTCTCTTTTTTTTTGGAAGGTTAATATTTCTATTTTTCTCAACACGCTAAACTTAGCATGTTCTAACTTCCTCTAAAACATCACCGACCAACTTCTTATTGCCGCTTAGAATTTTCCTTCTACCTGTTTTGATAAACAAAACTGGGGCCCTGGCCAGTTTGACTCCGTGGATAGAGAATCAGCCTGTGGACTGAAGGGTCCTGGGTTAGATTCCAGTCAAAGACATATGCCCGGGTTGTGAGCTTGATTCCCAATGGGGGGCGTGCAGGAAGCAGCCAATCAATGATTCTCTCTCATCACTGATGTTTCTCTCTCTCCCTCTCCCTTCCTTTCTGAAATCAATATTAAAAACAAAAAAGTGGGTATTTTTTTTTGCAGTCTGTGCTTAAATGTATTACCTGCCACGAAACGACCGTGGTGCTCATGGTGGCCCTCACACCCATGTGCCGGCTCCCGTGCAGCTGTGACCCATGTGCTTCTCAGTACAGCACAGTTCTTCTCACTGGTGGTTGTGGGTGACAGGCCTCTTAGTCTTTCTATGTCGAACGCTGTCTGTTTTGCCCTGGCCCTTGAAGGATGGGTTCAGCCGGTGTGAAACCGAGTTGGCAGTCACTTCCCCTCAGCAGTCTGCGGGCGTGACTCTGCCGGCTCCTGGCAGCCCCCGGCGTGCCCAACGTTCCTTGGTGGCGGCCTGTGGCGCTGCCCTCGTAGCTTTCACGATCTCTCCTTTCTATTCTCGGACACAGATGTCTAGCCTCTAGATTTACTCCTATTCATCCGGCCTGAGACGGAGATGACTTTTGATCTAAGAACTCACATGGATGCTCCTCAATCCTAGAAAATGTTTAGCTTCGCTCTTCAATGATTGCTTCTTCCCTCCCCCAGCCCTTCTCCCATCGACGAAGGCTCTGGTTTCCCCCGTCCTGGCTCTTTCCTGCTTCTACCTGCACCGGCCAGGGAGTGTGTTTTTAACTTTGCGTCTGTGCTGCACCTGCAGGGACAACCCCAAGCAGCACCATCGCCATCCTGACTGCTTCTTTCCGTTTGTTTTTTCCTTCCTGTTGTTGTGTGTTTTTCTTTTTCTCTTTGTGTCTGGTTCTTTTTATTTCCGCTAATCGCCATGTTTTCATTACCAGGTTTTCCAATTATGTTCGTATTCGCCCGATCTTGTTCCAAGTGTGGATTTACTGTCATTCCCAGCATCAGAGCTCTTCCTGTGCCTTAGAATTCCGTCTACAGGCTTGTTTGGGGCACAAGTCCTTTTTCTGTTAGTTTTATTTTTCACTTTTTCTCCCTCCTGCTTAACCTTCCCTTCCCAGTTTGTAATTGCCTCCCTCCC